AGATGCACATTAGTGTTACAAATGCACCAGCAGGAGGTGTCCCGGTTGATGGACAAGCAAAGCAACTCATCTGATGAAAACAAGCAGTCCTGTGGCACCATGCGGTGTGTCCACATTGTCGCACGTTGCTCGAAATAAGCGACGCACTTTGAGCTACACAAATGGCATAGCTTATTTCCGGAGAGCCTCTTTCGAAGTTTGGCGCGGTCTACGCAACGCCCGATTTCAAAATAGAGCGCTATTCCGAGGCTTCTGGGATATCGGAATAACCAGCCCGTTATTTCAAATGTATTCTGAAATAATGGGCTTCCTGTTAAGACGTGAAGAAAGCTATTTTGGAATTACGAAATAGCACTGTTGTGTAGATGTACCCTTAGTACGTCTAGACTTCAGGCTTTTGTTGACAGAAGTTTTGTCGACAGATACTGTTGACAAAGCTTCTGTAGACAAAGAGCGCCTAGACGACAGCCAGTTCTGTCGACAAAGCAAGCCGCTTTGTCGACATGACAGTGTAGACGCCAAGAACAGTGTAGATGTAATAACGCCTTCTGTCCACAGAACTCTGTCGACAAAAGGCGTTATTCCTCGTAGAACTGCTGAGTTCTGTCGATGTTATGTCGACAGAACTCAGCGGCAGTGTAGACGCAGGTATAGTTTTCTCAACAAAAGTCCACTTTTGTGACAAAACCCTGTAGTCTAGACACAGCGAGACAAACCAAACTATATAAAATCATGAGCTTTTGTGGGTAAAACCCACTTCCTCAGATGAGCTGGAGTGGAGATAACAGAATCCAAGAGATATATAACTACAAAAAAATACCTGTCAGTTGTAGGAGCGGTGCTAATGAGGCTAATTAAGTAGGCTGGATGTGTGCTATACTTAGCTTGTGATGTAAAAATGCAGCTGTTAAAGGCAAGAGAGACTGACTTTATAATACGACATCCAGTTAATGTCTTTGTTCAAGCCCAGGGGAACAGTGTCGGATCTGGAGATGAATAGCAATTCCGCACTCTCTCTCTGTAATGGGTTAGTGAAATTCCTTTGCAGAAGAACAGCTACTTTTAAACCTATGATTGAGTGCGCAGGCCGGTTAAAATGTCCCCCTAAGGTTTCAGTGTGTTATCATTTCTGATGTCTGACGTGTGTCCATTTATCCTTTGGTGCAGAGACGGCCCGGTTTGGCCAATAGACATGGCAGAGGGGCATTGCTGGCTCTTAGTGGCGTGTATCGCATTAGAGGCTGTGCAGCTGTCTCTCATGGCAGCCCATGAATGAGCCCGTCCTGTCTGCCATAAGCACTGCCCTGGAATTTGGTAGAGGGCGGGGTTTGGAGACCGGATATAGGGTACACTCTATGTAGGGCTGCTGAGCAGAAAAAGCAGCCAGCTGGAAGGCACAGGATCCAGTGTGGACAGGATTGCTCCACATTGCCTGGGCAGGAGGCGTGGCGGGGGGAGATGCTTTTCCAAACTCGTGCTATCACATGCACAATGGGTACTTGTTACCCCACTTCACCCCACTCAGCTGGTCTCTGGTCAGTTTACACCCACATGGAATTTTCCCCTCTGCTTACATCACCTTTGAATCCGTGAAGGAAACACAGACCTCGTTCGATTTCCGCTCTGGTCCCTTCGCACTGTGCTGCCGGGGCAAAGGGGCTTTCGGGTGGGTCCCAGGGCCACGTACGGCAGCAGAGCGGCAGAATCCCGCCTCTGTCTCAGCCCCTGCTGAGCAAATTTGCTGCGGAAATACCACGAGCTAAATATTTATGAGCTGACATTTCGCTCCTGCACGCAAACCTGTTCCCGCAAAGGCCCCCTCGCACACGGCCTCGGGTTTTGCTGCGTTCAGGTGAAAGCGGGAACCAAAGGCTCAGATGTGGGGGGCGGGAGTTGAACCAGTTGAACCACGTGAGAAGCCACAGTGTCGCACCGCATGGGAGTTTGCGCTGCAGCGGTGAGGGGGGAGGGGGAACTGAGTCACCCACCCACCTTCCAGGCGCTTGGCACGTCGCATCCCTTAGGGAAGCCGGGAACCCTCAGCAAAACACCAGACAGCTCGCTCCACGCCCCAGCTGTCAGCTGTTAAGCATCTGTTGTGTCAAGCCCTTTCAAGTGTGTTATGGAGAGGGGCCTCACACCCTGGCTCCTGGTAGATTTCCAATCTGGATCATTGCACATCCAGGGTACGTCTACACAGCAACATAATTTCGACAGAACTGAGTCCGCCTCTACATAGCAGGATTTCGACAGCCTGTCAAGTTGGAGGACGGCTTACGCCGACTCCTGCAACCCTCACTGCACGAAGAGCACGGGAAGGCGGAGGACAAGGGCTCCGTTTCGAAATCGGTGCTGTAGAGGCGCTCCCGATTTTGAAATAAGCCACGCAACTGACGTAGCTCAATTTGCATCGCTTATTTCACGGTAAGCCCTGCTGTGGAGACACAGCCCCAGTCTCCTCCCTTCCCACGCCTCCGCGCCCAGCCTGTTCTTTCAATGGGAAGACGGTCGGCTCCCTCATTTCTGGCCAGGTTGGTGTCACTGTGACGTAGTGGGGGTACCTTGCTGGTTGCTAAGCTTGGGTTGCGAGTGACCTCCGCTGGCTGCAGCACGGCCCAGCAGGGCAGGGGATGAGTCATTATGCAAGGGGGCTTCGAACCTGTCTGACCAGTGATCTCCGAGGGAGCGGAACAATGGGAAGAAGGGGAGTGGAGCCCTGGCTGGGGGCAGAGCTGGAAGTGAGTGGTTTTGTTTCTGTCTGAGAGCATGGAGGAGACAGCCTAGGGAAAGGGGCTGGAATTTAGGGGTCCAGGCTCCCCCATCTCAAGGGGGGCTAAGGCATCCTAGGCCTGCCCTGGAACCAGATGACATCTGTGCTGTGCTGTATCCTGGAGAAGCAATAAACTCCCTCAATTTTACTGGCTGGTGGAGTCTGTCCGTGCCATTACGGGGGTGCAGGAAACGGGAAAACCCCAACAAGTCGTCACAGTCACTCCATCTGGCTCCATTGGCATCCAGATGATTTACACCAGCTGAGGAACCGGCCCTTTGGATCTGGTGTAGCGATGCTGTGCAGCTGCCATGCTCTGCCCCAGAGGTGGGCGTATGTCGGCGGCTGGCAAAGCAATGTCTAGCTGCTTTTCTTATGGGATCTGGTGTTCCCTGCAGTTTCCTCGGCACAATGGCCAACTCGCAAAGCAAATCTGCATGGCAATAGCCGTGCGGGGGTTACCCCAGTAAGGGGGAACGGTGCCAGGGCCGCAGTGCGCGCTCAGGTCTTGACATAAGCCAACACTTCCCGAAAACACTGGCATCTGCTGGACAGCTCCCGAGACCAGCTCATCCTGCCTGGAGACACCATGCCAGGGGCCTCCAACTCAAGATGGGAATGGTCCTGAAAACAACCCGTTCCGAGGTGCTCCGCCAGGAGCCTCCAACTCAAGCACTTCCAGGTCCTGTACCAGATGGGAACGGCCCTGAAAACAACCCGTTCCGAGGTGCTCCTGGGCTTCCCATCATGGCTGGCTCCATGGAAGTGGAAGACGGCAGCACTCACTGGTCAACGGCCGTGTCCATTCCACGGCCCTCTTTGAACCCAATCCAGCGAGGACGGGAGGCCTAGGGAGACAGGCCAATCCTCGCCTACAGACAACCCCCTAACCTGAAACCAATCCTTTCCAGCAGCCATCTCAGACACACTCCCCCAGGAACCCACCGCTGCCACCAACCGCGGTGCCTACTCTGTCCACACATCTACACAAGCGACACCATGCCAGGACCTAAGCACATCAGCGACCACATCCGGGGCTCAGGTAGCTGCACAGCCTCTAATGCGATACACGCCATCAAGTGCCAGCAACGCCCCTCTGCCGTGTCTATTGGCCAAACTGTTAGGACCGTCTCTGCGCCAGAAGATTCATGGACACAAATCAGATACATAAGAACATCTAGACTGGGTCAGACCAAAGAACCATGTAGCCCTGTCTGCACACAGTAGCCGATAAATACATCTTCGAAATGGTAACACCCCCAAACCTGCAGGGAACATTTTAACCTGCCTGGGCACTCAGTCATGGATTTAAAAGTAGCCTTTCTTCAACAAAGGAATTTCACTAACCCATTACGTTCATTTTTTGAGGAATACAGGCTCTGTCGAAAAAGGGTTTATTTTCGACACTTCCGCGTCCAGACTGCCGGGTTTTTTTCCCCAAAAACTCCATTTTGAAAAAAAGCAGCGGCCGTGTTTATGCTAATGAAGCACGGGATATTTAAATCCCAGTTTCATTAGCAATTTCGACGGGCTTGATTTGTATCCCTGTGTCGACAGAGGGATGCCGTCTAGATGTAGCCAGAGAGAGAGAGTGCAGAATTGCTATTCATCTCCAAATCTGACCCTGTTCCCCTGGGCTTGAACAATGCCGTTAACTGGATGTCGCATTATAAAGTCAATCTCCCCTGCCTTGAACAGCTGCGTTTTTTTAATCAAAAGCAAAGTATAGGACACATCCAGCCTACTTAATTAGCCTCATTAGCACCGGTCCTACAATTGACAGGGACTTTATTTGCTGTTTATATTTCTCTTGGTTTCTGTTCTTCCCACTCCGGCTCAGCTGATGAAGTGGGTTTCGCCGGCGAAAGCTCAGGATTTGCTCTATATTTTGGTGAGTCTCTTTGGGTGCATTGCTTGTGAAGTTGCGAACTAACCCGGCTCCCCCTTTGAGGCGTGTGCTTTCGCCTGGGGAAGGCCCTGTTGTAATCCCTGTTTTGCTGGCCAAGCCGGGGGCTGTCACTGCAATGGAGGAGGAAGGAAATCACCCTGTCCTTCCTGTGCCTCTAGCACCAGAGTAGGGTCAGGAAGGGGGACGCTGGTAGAAAAGAGGCGGGGAGAGGGAAGGAGACCCCAGGAAAGGGAGCGCGTTGGATAACAGCGCGCCGCGTGCCGGCCAAGTCCCTGGCTTGGCTCCCAGGCTCCCCCAGCGCTCCAAGGGGAAAGCTCTTACCTTGGTCACTGCCATGGCACAGGCGTGGCCCCAGATCTCAATCAGCTGCTGCCGACCAAACCTGTAATCTTCCAGCAGCTCTTTCTCGATGGCCTCCGCCTCCTCGCGGCTGCAAGGCAAGAGGCAGATGGGCTATGAGACCGCAATCCACTCCCCACCCCGGCAGATTGCTCTTGCACCTGTACCCAGGCCCAAAGCAGCTGCCTACAACCTGGCTCCTACATCCCTGCCTCCGTGTCTACATTAGCAATGGGGTGCTTGCCATTCAGCATTCTGGGCCAGTGGGGCAACACGGGACCTCAGCCCACCCGCCTAGAGCAAAAAGCTTCTGCCAAGGAGCTGCTGTGACGTGTGGGAGCTGTGCTGGCTCCTGTCGTCCCTCTGTTTGCTTTGTTGTGTTGTACGGGAGTCTACTGCCATGTGCGGCTCTGGAGTAACTCTGTGCGTGTGCGTGCCTCAGTTTCCCTGGGCACTGCAGCACTACCTGGATGAGGAGGGGGAGGCTGGCCATGACTCACTGGGGACGTATGTTCAGCCTCTCACGTCCTGAGGACTGGGTGATGGCAAACAACACCGTGGGCCTGGAAGCAGGACACTGGAGGAGGCGGGGCTGCCTGGGGGGCTGGGAGTGGGAGTTTAGTTTTTCGGCTGGCTGGGGGAGAAGGGAGCCTAGTTAGCTGGGGGGGGGGCCGGGGCAGGGCCCCCCTTTCCCCAAAATGGATTGTACCGTCTGCTCCTGGTTCCTGTGACAACCAGACAGCTGTGTCTGTGAACCAATAAACCTTCTGTCGTGTGACTGCGGATGGGGGTTCGGGTCCAGTGACTCCCCCACACTCCAGAACAGCTGCCTCAAAGGAATCCCTCTTGTGATGTGTCTACTGGCTTTCCCCTGCGAGGGGTAACACCTCCGACAGGGCAGTGGCGAGCCATGCAGGAGGGAGGGAGTCCTACTAAGTAGCCCCTCATCCCAGACCTCAGCCCTGCTCCCCACCGCCCCCTGCCTGCCCCCTGATGCAGCTGCAGCTATTTCAGAGCCTGCCATCCTTCGGGGAGCAGGCTCCTAGCTCCTTCGCCACCTCCAGGTTTGGAGGGACCCGCTTTCTCCTGGGGACCAGGTGCGCTGGACACACCTGGTCCTGGCCGCCTGTCTGTGGCAGAGTGACGGGAGAACACGCCAAGGGACAGTGCCGAGGACGCTGTATGTTAGGGTATGTCTACACTTGAAGCCTATTTCGGAATAGGGCTGCAAATGGAGGCATTTGGAATTGCAAATCAAGCCCGGGATTTAAATATCCCATGCTTGACTTGCATCTTCCCAGCTGGGCACCACTTTTCGAAATTTACAAGCCCGGGCATTGGAAATAAAGCCCTATTTCGAACTACCTGTTATTCCTCCTGCAATGAGGTTTAACAGGTAGTTCGAAATGGGGCTTTATTTCCAATGCCCGTTTCACTGCCACATGTAAACTCTGGCCGTTATTCCGGGCTTGTAAATTTCAAAAAATGGCTCCCAGCTGGGAAGATGCAAATCAAGCGTGAGATATTTAAATCCCGGGCTTGATTTGCAATTCCGAACGCCTCCATTTGCAGCCCTATTCCGAAATAAGCTACAACTGTAGACATTCCCTACCATACAGTGAGACTGTGCCGTGCTGTTTCATTCACTGGTGGTGCACAGTGCTGGCTCAGGGATTGGACAATGAGTGATCACATCTCTTGGGTCCCCTGGCTGGAGGAAGGGAAAACCAGTCCCTGTTCTCAGGATAATGCCAGCTGGTTTGTTACTCAAGTCCACCGGCCCCGAGACTGTGTGTGACGTAGTGGGGGGTACCTTGCTGGCTGCTATGCTGGGCAGTGGGTTGTGAGTGACCTCCACTGGCTGCTGTCTGTAGCACAGCCCAGCAGGGCAGGGGGGGGGTCATTATGCAAAGGGGGTCTCTCAACCTGTCCGACCAGCTACCCCCCAGGGAGAGAAACAAAGGAAGGTGGAATGCAGCCCCTAGCTGAGGGGCAGGGCTGATAGTGAGTTAGTTTCTGTCTGGGAGCATAGGGGAAACAGCCTAGGGAAGGGGGCTGGAATTTAGGGGCCCAGTCTCCCCTATAGGGGAGACAGCCTAGGGAAGGGGGCTGGAATTTAGGGGCCCAGGCTCCCCCATCTCAAGGGGGGCTGAGGCATCCTAGGCCTGCCCTGGAACCAGATGACATCTGTGCTGTGCTGTATCCTGGAGAAGCAAAGTCTGTTCGTGCAATTACAGGGGTGCAGGAGACTGGAAAACCCCAACGCGCCGTCACACTGTGCTCTTTGGGGTCAAGACACCAGGACCCTGGGCTGCCCATCAAAGTGCGAGCTGGTGCAAGCTGAGAAGTGGGCGGGGTGGTGTTCATTAATGCCATGGCGCCACGTCTTCCCTCCGATGCTCATTGCCTGTCACTGTCCCCGTGCAGAGCGAGTGTGCGAACGGGTTCCATTCTAAGCAGGTTGTGTTTCACGCTCACTTTGCACGGGAAGGAAGGGGGGTGTCACTGACAAGCAAGGTGCCAGGCAACAGAGAGTCGTGAAGTCATCCTGGAGTTTTTAAAAACAGGTATCAACTCCTAGCTGTTAAACAGCTGCCCCCACCCGCCCCCGAGGTGGCTGCATCACTGTCGGTAACTGAATTCAAAGATCGCCCACCATTCATACACACCACAGAGTATTTTACGAGCCAGCTACCCTATGAAGCAGTCAACTACGATCTGGCTTGATCAACGGTGCCAGGATATTAGAGGGATAAATACCAGGGAGGGAGAGGAATTATTTAAGCTTAATACCAATGTGGACACAAGAACAAATGGATATAAGCTGGCTAGTAGGAAGTTTAGACTTGAGATTAGACGAAGGTTTCTAACCATTAGAGGAGTGAGGTTCTGGAACGGCCTTCCAAGGGAAGTAGTGGGGGCAAAAGACCTATCTGGTTTCAAGATTAAACTAGCTGGGTTTATGAAGGGGATGGTTTGAGATAACATGATCTTGGTAACTAATTGACCATTCATTATCAGTAGTTACTATAGAGAACTTTCTGGGTGTCTGGCTGTTGAGTCTTGCCCACATGCTCAGGGTTTAGCTGATCGCCATATTTGGGGTCGGGAAGGAATTTTCCTCCACGGTAGATTGGGTGAAGCCCTGGAGGTTTTTCGCCTTCCTCTGTAGCATGGGGTACAGATCACAGCTGGAGGATTCTCTGCATTTGGGGGTCTTCAAACTATTTGAAGGCTTCACTATCTGAGATTTAGGTGAGAGGATTATTCTAGGAGGGGTATTTTGTGGCCTGTACGGTGCTGGGGGTCAGACTAGATGATCCTAATGGTCCCTTCTGACCTTAAAGTCTATGAGTCTATAATGGGGAAACTGAGGCAGGGAGCAGCTGCCGGCCCAAACTGGAGCGGTGCTATGACCTGGCATGCCAAGTCACAATGCCACTCAGTTTGGGGGGGGCCAAGAAACTGCTCCAGGCTGCCCTGTCCCCCCACCATTGGCACCCATGCCAATGATACACAGTGCACATAACGCACCTAGAGCTGTGGGTGCCACTGAGCAAAAGAGCCGGGGTTCAAACCTGCCTTCTCCCTAACACCCATCCTCAGGTTCAAGCCCCAAGCCCACTACTGGCTCCCAATTAAAACCACAAACTAATTAAGCCCCTGGAATAACCGGCCAAAAGAGGCAGCCGCAATATATAATGTTCTTGTTTTCCATCACATTCCACACCTGGTATTTAAATGTAGCCCGGAGTAATTAATTTACACCTCAGGCCATGCCAGAAAGCCAGGAATTCTCTACCCTGCATGAGCTACGCTGCGTGTTATCAGTGGTTCCAGCCCCACAGACGCTGCCCCTTCCAGCCATGTCCCAGTGCCCTGTGTTGCCGATTATTAAATTCACTGTAAAAGTTGCCGTTTGACCCAATGTCTATGAGGCTGGGCTAGCCCCAGCCCTCCTCTGAAGTTGGTTGATTGAGGTAAAGAGGCTGATGTTTAATAAGGACAAAGGCAAAGTGCTCCACTTCGGAAGGAACAATCGGTGTCACACATGCAGAATGGGAAGCGACTGCCTAGGAAGGAGTCCTGCGGAAAGGGATCTAGGGGTCAGAGTGCACCACAAGCTAAACAGGAGTCAGCAGTGTGATGCTGTTGGAAAAAAAAGCAAACGTGATTGTGGGCTGCATGGACAGGAGTATGGTGAGCGAGACACGAGCAGTCCTTCTGCCGCTCTGCTCTGTGCTGATTAGGCCTCAGTTGGAGGATTGTGTCCAGTTCTGGGCACCACATTTCAGGAAAGACGTGGAGAAATTGGAGAAGGTCCAGGGAAGAGCAACACAAATGGTTAAAGGTCTAGAAAACGTGAGCTACAAGGGAAGGCTGAAAGAACGGGGCTTGTTTAGTTTGGAGAAGAGAAGACGGAGAGGGGACAGGAGAGCAGTTTTCCAGTATCTAAAAGGGTGTCACAAGGAGGAGGGAGAAAAATCGTTCTCCGTGGCCTCTGAGGACAGGCCAAGAAGCAAGGGGCTTAAACTGCAGCAAGGGAGGTTTAGGCTGGACATTAGGAAAAACATCCCAGCTGTCCGGGTGGTGAAGCACTGGGATAAATTGCCCAGGGAGGTTGTGAAAGCTCCGTCCCTGGAGAGATTTATGAGCAGGTTGCACAGACACCGGTCGGGGGGACTAGATGGGGTTTGTCCTGCCGTGCAGGCAGGGGACTGGACTCAATGACTCTCGAGGTCCCTTCCAGCTCTCGTGCTCTACGGTTCCCCACATCCCTTTGTCGCGGGAGGCTGCTGTTGAGCCCAAAGGGCCCCGCTGCTACATTTCCACATCTGTGGGACTCGCACCCACAGCCCCCGGCTGCTGCCTCCCCACACGTGCCGAGCTGGGCCAGGGCCCAGCGGGTTTCCCCTCGGGGCCCACACAGC